CAGGACCGCCTCACCCTGCCCTGCGAGAGCTGGGCCGGGGACCGAGGCTTCTCTGTGCCACCCCCTCGCCCCGCCTGCCTTGCCGAGGGCTCAGCGGCCTCCCCTTCTCTCGGTGGCGGCCTTTCAAGCGCGCGCCGTCCGTGTTTTCCTTCAGTTTTGTGTAAGCTAAACCCCGGCTCCTTCGCCCTGGCCTCAGGTGCGTTTGATGGCTTTGTTTGTTTGTTGGGTCCCCCGTACCCATCACGGCAGCACCCAGCGTTGTGCTACCGGTGCTGGGTGACGCCTGTACGCTACTTGGGTGCCTCAACAGCAGTAGTCCCGTGTACGCACTCCAACGTGATTACAGGCTGGGGGTTTTTTGTGGAGTTTGTTTACAGCATAACTTTAGTGATGTAAAATTTTACCCAGTGTGACCTGTCAAGGCACCTTTCCTCAAAGCTCTTTTGTATCCTGTGCGCGTGCTGTTGGTTCAGGGCATCTTCATACTTCCTCACTGAATGCCACCATGATCTTCAGATCCCATCTCCATTACAGTCAACCGAACAGGAAGAGTAGCTACTGTCCCTCACAGCTTGGTGGTGGTCTCAGCTTTAAAAAGGAGGCTCTTCATTCCATCTTCCAGGTCGTTACTGAAAACAACAAATACCACCGCCAAGCTCTGTGATTTACCTGCCTGTTTTGACTGAAAACCAGTGATAGCCATTCTCCGACTGATGTCCTGTTCAGCTTAGCAGGAGCTCTGTGGTGGTTTCAAGTTCACGTGTTGTGATTATCAACATCTAAAGATGTAATTTCTCCCACACACTTTAAGTTCTCCTACTTGTACAGAAGGCAGTTGGGTTTATTTCCTATGATTTATAACTATCTTAACTGGTAGTTTGATGTTAACTGGTACTTCTCTATTTATCCTCTCCCCTGAAGGGAGAAGCCATTTGTAAGCACTCTGTCCCATTAGCTTTTAAGATGACTGGGAAGATTTGACTTATGCTGAATACAACGAGTGGTTCCCACAGGGGGATTGGCCTCAAACAGCAGGGAGATCCCTGGAGCGTTGCAGTATGCGCTTTACAACATCTTTGCCACAAAAATCCCTATTGGCTATTTAGGATTCTTTTAAACATTATGTAATCTGAGGACCCAGCCTTTCTTTTCTGTATTTGCAAATGGACAAGATTTTTTTTCTCATTTGTTTAAAACGGTCCTTTCCCTTAAGCTGTAGCTTTTGGAATTCTATGATGAAGTGATAGTCTTGGCTGGCATTTTAAAAAAATCTACTTTTCATGATTGCTAGAAAAAACTTGAAATGTGTTTTCTTTTAATGGTAAGAAATAAGGAAACATGTTATTATCTTTTAAATGACAGTTATAAAACATTTTCCTTGTGATTTTTCTAGGATATGACTGACGTTAATCTTTTTAATGTGTTACACACTAAGCAAGGTGAAGCGAAATCAGAACAGCAAAGTTATTTTTGGCATTGTTCCACAAAAAATGTTTCCAGTTCATCATTTTTTGATCACAATTTGCAAAATTGCTTTTCAGGTGAATAGCTGGTGACTTCATAAAATTTGGAAACAAAAATCTTTGTTGCTATCTTCACTGCACTGGTAAGACCATTTCCCAAAAGGATTTTAGGGTTTGGAGGGGGAAGAACTATTAAACCAACTTTTTTTGGTGTGCAGTGTTTGTTTCTGGCTTTTTATAACAAGCAGACTTTCTACCTGCCTGTTTTTTCTTTGAAACACTTTGATTGAGAAAGGTGCTATAGTTAAAAGGTGTATTTTCTTTAAATAATGAAATGTTAGATGTTCTCTTCTGTCATAAATATTCTAGGTCCTTTACACTGTGCCTAGCCTGTGCTGCAGTACATAGGAGTGCACAACAGGCATCCAACAGGCCAGGTAACAGCCATAACTTCATATTATTCCCACTCACATGAGATTTGTTAGTATTGCACCAAAGGATCACATTCTCCATCTGAAATTTGGGTTCTTTTGGTTCTTATTTTTGGTGCTTTTTAGGAAGTTTCAAAAATGATGGAGTTGTAGCACATCTGCTCAGTGATATGTCAGTGAACATACGAGTACTTTGTATTCTAACCTCATGTGAAATACCAGCTCATGTGCACTTCAAGATAATGATTGTGGCCTGAGCCCAAAACTGCCTCATACTCTTGAACACAAAATATAGTCAATAATTTCTATTGTAAGGCAAAGCTTAGGATGTGAGAGACAGCTTTGATAGCACGACTGTAGGTCTAATCACATTGCACTCTAAATACCGGCTGTGTTTTCTTCATCTTTTGATACCTATGTAGGAGTGTAACTATTAAAATTACCACCAAGACAAAATGCTGTCGTTCATACATTTCTCCTTTGAGACCAAGAATGGGAGAACAAATTGTCTGTGTTCAGTGTTAAACATAGAGCTGAATGCAGTTCTGGATTAGTACAGCTTTCAGTCCGGTGTAAGACTGTACACAGTTCTGCATAAGTTAGAATACAGTGTTCACCTGTCACTTGAGAAGAGAGATGGATTTAAGCAGGGAGCACACAAGTTCTCTGTACCACTGGGAAGGGAGCCTGGTGTGGGGAAAAGGAAATGATTTCCAGTGTGTCTTCATGTTTCTGTGATTTTCATTTTCTCCAACAGGCCGGCCACGGTCTGTGCATGACTTAGTGAGGAGATCGCTGTTCAGCTCCTGGGAATTAAACTTTCTTGCCAGACAGGAGGGGATCAACATCTCAGAGGGATTCCTCAGGTCTTGGATCCCAGATAGATTCCAGCCCTAACACACACTGAGAAGAAGGGGGAAAGGATGCTTTTGTCCTTGTCTTTATTCTGAATATTTTGACTCTTGTAAATATTTTTTTTCAAGTATAATGCATTATGTATAGCAAAAGTATATTTGACTGTCTGTTTTAGTGGACCAAATTATGTGATATTATTATGTTATATTGCCTACCTAATCTTAATCAGAAGATAATGGATTATACCTGATACCATATACTTCTAAAGTTCTGTAAACAAATATCTGCCTTATGATAATGAACTAAAAATTTTCTTTTAAGACCCAAGTGCCACTTTGGGACAATCAACAATATAACATGAATAACACCAGGCACCAGTCTCTGTTCTTTGTCAGTCTGCCAGAGCTACAAAAACTCTGTGCCTCTACAGTAACGCTGAGTTCTCAGATACCGGAAACTGAGACAAGGAGTACACAGATAAAGTTTTGCAGGTAAAGAACTTTTAGGGTTATTATTTTTAGAAGCTGTTGGTGGTTGTTATTCAAAGATTTTATTAGCAGCACTAGAATTAATTGTAGTAAAGTCAGCAAAATTCTTATATCAGCAGAAAACAGCATAAAATTGTTCAAAATAGTGGGTATTTTTGGTGGGGGACTTGCTGGCTATTGGGGAAACAAAACACATTTCTATTATGTTTTAAGTGTCATCAACTAAAACTAACAAGGCCACCTACTTCAAATTAATAAATAGTTAAAATTAATCTGTGTTCACTTGCAAAGTTGGAATGCTTTATGTCAGTTGAGACTGAGTGAAAAGAATACTGGGAAAGCATATGTATGGTCCCTAGTGTTCACCAAGCATTTTGTCATTCCCTTTAATAGGAAAGGGGAGAAATGAGAAATTCTGCCAAAAGGATCACTTTTGGAGACTTATGTTCATGTGCGAAAGGCCTGCAGTCTTTGTCTTAGGCCACTGTGGGTGGGTTAAGAGCAAGTAACTTGGACTAGTCCAATAAATTATACTGAACCACTGGAAGCCGATTAGAGGTGGAATGTATTATGTTTGCAGAAAGTGAGGAAAAGAAATTTAAGCTGAGAAAATCAAGTATGGAAAATTATTTTTTAATTTTTTTCTAACTTTTTTTTAATAGACAGTTATTATTCCTGCATCAAGATATCCTTTCTGCACCTGTTATTGGAACACTAAATCAAATTTCAGTTGTAATGGCGGTCAGTATCACTGTGTAAATAAGTATATGTAGTTACGTACTGTTGTGGATGAGCAGAATGCACCTCACTCAAAAGAGAGGCAGCAATATGTTTTATTGAGGTAAAATAATAACTTGACAGACTTCAATAAGTTTGATGGAATTGAACAAAGTTTTAACAGTGGTTTGACAAGGTTCAGTAAGTTGATGGCAAGGTTCACCTTATTAATTACTGCATGGAAGAAACATACGAAAGGAAATTGAATTAGAATGACTCATACAGAGACTGGAAATGTGAAGAGTTGAAGAGGACCCTCCCGTTGAGTCATGAGGTTCAGAGTGGACCCCCTTGCTTTCTAAACTCCTTTTTTGGAGCCTAGGTGTGGCTAGATCCAATCTTAGTCTCAGACTTGGTCAACAATTCATGTCTAATGGAATTATCCATACAATGTTTATAGTATCTGAGTAGCTACATGGATCAGTAATGCTTCATAGTATTAATTCAGCATCCTATCAGTCACTTACTGAGGATCTGTCACAGGGAAGGGATCTTTCCACCTTGAGCAGGGAAGGATCTCTTAGTCTCGGGTAAGGAATTGCTAACCTTGAGAGACATCCCTGCTCAAGGGGAGAGTCATCTGGCATGCAGGCCAGCTGCCATTCAGGGAGAGCTCAAATTGGGCCCATCCTGATTTTAATATTTATAGAGTGAGGTAGTTGGCTGCTAGTCTGTAGTATAGACAGGACAGATGGCTTCGGTTTAGCTCTGACATCTTGTTCTGTACTTTGGTTACCTTGTATTTTTGGGTTTTGAAACTACCTTTCAAAATATTTTTCAAGACACCTTCATTCCCTTGTACATGAGCCAGGGGCTTTCCAGCTCACAAGTTCACCCCAAGGACATGAGGCCTGTTGCTTCTTGGTCATCCTGAACCAAAGTATGGCTAGGAGTCAAGTGTATCCGTCACACATGCATGCATGTTTCTCTAAGAAGTGGTTTTTCTGAGGATCAAGGATAAGTAAAATTATGTCATTTAAAGCAAACTTTTATTTTTGTGTATTAGTAATGTAGATGACAGCTTATGTCTTCTACTCTTTTGATGAAATAGCCTTTTCAGACGGTGAACCTTTTGTGGAACAGAATGGAGTCAATTGGTAAGATGCCACCCAATTCACAATGAGAGCAGCAGGGGCAGAGTTCTGTGATTTTGTTCTGGGCAGTCTTTTGCTTGCTTGTTAATGTATCTTTAGCTGGAAATGAGATTACACTGTAACAAATGCCTGAACTAATTTTAGTTATAATTCTCCTTTAAAATACAGGATATGGTGTTTGCTTTAACTATTCCTTAGCATGTTTTTCTTAGGCAAAGTCACTGATGGGCCAGAACTTAATTTATGATTTGCTAAAACACCTCTTAATTTCCAACACTTGAATTATTTTTTTATTTATTTTTAGATACCATTTTACAAATCAGGAATATGTCAAACCTACATAGAGAAACAAGGAGCTACCGTAAGTGCTGAAAGATGTCACAGTTCTTAAGATTGCTACTCTTGTCCACAACTGCTGTTGCCAGAGATGAGTATTTTTCATAGGGCATGCAATTTGCACTACAGAAGCCAAGTTTCATGGTAAAAATGTCTGTCCTGTAGACAAAACGTCTCTTATGAATCTAGGTATAGTAAGTATACTTTGTCAGAGTCAAAAGTTTTAAGAAGTTCCTGAGCGATTTCACTAGGTTTCTCTGCTGCAGTGGGACCCTGATCTTGCTCAGGGTTGTTGGGGTTTGACCTCAAGGCAACGACAGACCTGCCCTTCGGGCCAAAGACCTGCAGCTCCCCTGCTGTTGTCACCCTCTCTGCGTGTGCCCTATAGGTTCCATAGGTGGGGGTGTTCTGAGAGCTGAACTGTCTCCCTATTCACATTTTGGGTTTATCTAGCCTATATAGGGCAGTCTCAAACAAAACAAATACGTAGAGAAGAAATGCAACCCATTAGCTTAACAGCTGATACACTTTTAGACATTATGCATATGCTTTACTATCTTCTAGTATGCAGTGTCTGTGGGGTTTATGAATGTATGTGTGGACCCACAAAAATTGCTGAGTCAAAAGACTGATTGTAATCAAAGCCAGTAGCTCTCATGATTCATTTGCCCAGCCAGATGGGTGTATTTTCTTTGTTCCAAGAGGTGTAAATGCATATCTAGATTAGTAAGACTTATACTGTTCAAATATGCTTACCTTACAAAACTGCTTTGTGTTGCTGTGTGTAACTGACCTGTCATCATTAGATTTTCCAACACCAGCAGATTACTAGTACGAAGTATATTTAATAACCATGAGCTGCAAGCAGATCCTTGCAGGATCTCATTAGAAACATCCTCTTGGAGGTGTATTAGTTAACTCTTTTTAACCCATTGTAATTAGGTTATTTTTCTTGACTAATGCTAACTGTCAACAGAAAGCTATGCAGGACAGACAAACGGTCAGGCAAGTAGTACTAACAAAGCTACATTTATCTGTTGTTCTTGTGATTGCAAGAAAATGTCTCTGGTCTTGAGTTTGACAGCAGAGTTAATATATGTAAATTTTGGATGCTGTGCCTATTGTCCAGAAAGTGGTGAGTATCTAGGAAAGTGCTCCATATAGTTCAATTCACCTTTTCCCTGAGTATATTATCAGCCCTGTGAAAAACATAAATGAATTGTAGTGCACCTTACTTTGATGACACATGAAATCTAAATGCCTACATCAAATAGAATGCTAACTTCCTCTTGTAGCTAAGTAGGTGAAAAGTAAAGATGTGTAACATATACTAGGATTTGGCTCCAAGATGCAGTAGCAGTATCTTTGATTAAATTTTGACTGAAACCTTTAAAAATACCTGTTTAATTATTAATAATGTATTTTTCTTTTCTCACTTATGTTATTAGCTGGAAGCACCACAAACAGTTAGTCCAGCCATTCTCCAAACCTGTCTCTCCTACACACTTACAGCCAGACTTGCACCCAGATGGAACAAGGCTGGTCATCTCTTGGTGCAAGGTATTTGACTCACCTGGGTCAGGGATCAAGCATTTAGTTTTCAGTTCTTTATTGTTGCATTTATTTTCCGTAATTTAAATTGCCATCATTATTTCATTCATTATATTAAATTATTTCCTTCCTTTATCCTACATTTTTTTCTTTGATTGCATTTTTATTGTTCCTTTATCCAAGTTCAGTTATTCAAGTTTACAATCTCAATGGACATACTCACTTTTTCATCTTCCTCCTCATCTTTGTAAGAGATCAGATATTTCAACTGAACGCAACATACCAGATTAATAATTTCCAGACCAAATATTGTTGGACAGTAAATGTCATCTAAAAATTGGGCCTGTTTTTCAGATTCATGCTTTCTCTTGTGAAGCAAAGCAATTGTACAGATCATTCCAAATATACCTTGAGAAAAGCGTATATGTTATTCTCTTATTTCCAGCCACAATATTAACAGTATCTTGGGATTAGTATCTTCAAAGTATATAGCTCAATTTATTCAGGAATAGCAGCTGGAAGTAGAGGGCTAATCTGGTTTCAGTGAAAGACACTGACTAACAGCAATGTGACCCTGGTACATGCAGCTTGTCTAATCATGTATGTTGCTAAAGCTGGGCAAAACTGATGATAGAGGGTAAAATATGTAGTAATACTATACTGATTTGCTTTTGAACTTGAGAAATTTATTAACTGTTAGTCAATTAAAAATAGTTCTATGTAAAAATTCCTTACTGGGAGGAAAAAAAAAAGGTATAAATTGCTGTCCACTAATATACTTTCATATATCTTTCTTTTTTATATAAGATGATAATGAATCAGTGAAGTTAATTAATAGATGGGATTTTCTCTCCTTAGAAAGGACAAAGCTTTCAGCATTCATGACACACACAAACAAAACTGTGTGATTTCTCCTGTTTTTTTTTTTTTTCATAAAGACATTAGGCATCTGGTTTAGAAAATAATGTCTGTCTCATTTATTAAGGAAAAGATTTTTTGTCTCATTCAGGAAGGCAAAATGCTGTTGGTAAGTACAATATTCTGTTATGGTAAACTTGTGAGAACAAGGTATAGTTAGTGATGTGCTTTTATATTGCCATGATCTTGGTATTGCCAACACAGTGCCTTTTCATTTTTCAATCTGAAAGAACCTCAGTCAAAACACATTTGATGGCAGATCATGCTCTGTATGTAATAGTTGCCAGCTCAACTACACCTTTGAAAAATTACCCACAAGAAAGGTAATTTTTCTACTATTAATCTACAGCTACAGAATGAAATTTACCATTTAAAAGTTATGATTATCACAATTAAATGCACTTGCCTCGAATTGTGAGTCTTGCAAGTGATGTGAAAGTTCCATAATAATAGATAGGAAATGAGCTAAAGTGACTGTCCTGTATGTATGTCATGGTTTAACCCCATACGCAGCTGCTTGCTCACCCTTCCCTCCTCAAGGGGCTGAGGAGGAGAATGGAAAAAAACTTCATGGGCTGAGATAAAGACAGTTTAATAGGATAACAAAGGACGTTATATGGTAGGGAATATCCCTTTGGCCAGTCTGGTTCAGCTGTCCTGGCTGTGCTCTCCCAGCTTCTTGTGCACCTGGCAGGGTGTGGGAAGTTGTACAACTACAACTTCAGCATGCATCACCTCCTCTTCTGGCAACATTCTGAATTCTTTGCCTTCTGGTCAGTCCGTGATCATTTCCAAAATTCCTGGGTGACTGGGGTTTCCTATTCAAGTCTGCTGTGTGATCAGCGTGACCCACTTACTCCATGTAGCATCAGTTGCCTGATATGTAGAGGGGGCCTTCATTTTGCACATCCAGCCCAGCAGCAGCAGTCAGGGTGCCAGGAGGAGCTGTGCTTCAGTACCAACCACTTCCAAAGCATCTTAAACCCCTTCACATGCTGCCAATATCTCATTTTCAGTTAGAGTATAGCAGGCCTCGGATCCTCTGTACCCCTAACTCCAGAACCCCTTGAGTCTCCCCTGGTGCTTTCTGCCAGAGACACCAGGTAGGGCCATTCTCCCCGGCTGCAGTGTAGAGCACATTTCTTACATCTGGTCCCGCCTGGACTGGCCAAAGGGCTACTGCACAAACTATTTCCTTTTTAGTTTGTTCAAAGGTTTGTCATTGCTCATGGCCCCATTTGAAATTGTTCTTCTGGGTCACTTGATAAAGAGGGCTTACAATCAGACTGTAATTCGGAATATGCATCCTCTAAAATCCCACAACACCTAAGAAAGCTTGTGTTTCCTTTTTGCTGGTTGGTGGAGACATAGCTATTATTTTGTTGACTTCATCCATTGGGATCTGATGGTATCCATCTTGCCATTTTATTCCTATAACTGGATCTGCTGTGCAGGTCCCTTGACCTTACTTTGTTTTGTGGTGAAACCAGCTTTCGGAAGGATTTGGATTATTTTCTTCTCTTTCTCAAAAACTTCTGCTGCTTTGTTGCCCCATATGATGATGTCATCAATTTATTGCAGATGTTCTGGAGCCTCACCCTGTTCCATTGCAGTCTGGATCAGTCCATGACAAATGGTGGGGCTGTGTTTCCACCCCTGGGGAAGTCAATTCCAGGTGTACTGGATGCCCCTCCAAGTGAAGGCAAACTGTGGCCTGCACTCTACCACCAAAGGGTCCATTGGACTTCATCTGGATCTATGGGTAATTGCCCATTGTCCCAGGCATAATAAACCATCTCCCACATGGCTAATTCCCTCAGGTATTGGATACCTCTCTCCATGGTGCTCCACTTGCCTGGGTGACATAGAACATCTTCACTGAAGGGATACATTTCCCTCATGCCTGACGAGTTGCCTCTGGAGGCTAAGGGCATGTGTCCCTTTCCCAATCACCTTGTCAATGCCCCCTTCCCTGGACAGGGATCCCAGCTGCTTGGCCTCCCCACCCTCTGATTCCAGGCTACTGGCCCCATTATCCCAGCATTGGAGTAGCCAGGTGACAAGTTGCTTGGCAACAACTAAACACATCAGTGTGTTATCAACATTATTCTCATACTAAATCCAAACCACAGCACTATACCAGCTACTAGAAAGAAAATTAACTCTGTATCTCAGCTGAAATCAGGACAGTGTACTATGTTTGCTGTTCACAAAAGTTAAGTCACGAAACATGCTGCTTAAATTAAACATGCTGCATCCAAAAATTAGAAAGTAATATTTTTATTGCAGTATAAAAGTTAAATATTACATTTGGGGATATTGGTGCCTAAATTTGCAATAGGGACGTATGTTGAGGAACATAATACATTCAGTCCCTGTGCTACATCTTGCTCAGAGCTGGTGGACAACAAGTTCAGCGTGAGCCAGCAGTGTGCCCTTGTGGCCAAGAAGGCTAATGGTATCCTGGGGTGCATTAAGAAGAGTGTGGCCAGCAGGTCAAGAGAGGTTATCCTCCCCCTCTACGCTGCCCTGCTGAAGCCACATCTGGAGTTCTGTGTCCAGTTCTGGGCTCCCCAGCTCAAGACAGACAGGGAACTACTGGAGAGAGTCCAGCGGAGGGCTATGAGGATGATGAGGGGACTGAAGCATCTCTCGTATGAGGAAAGGCTGAGAGAGCTGGGTCTGTTTAGCCTGGAGAAGAGAAAACTGAGAGGGGATCTCATCAGTGCTTATAAATATCTAAAGGGCAGGTGACAAGAGGATGGGGCCAGACTCTTTTCAGTGGTGCCCAGCAACACGACAAGGTGTTAAGGGCACAAACTAGAACACAGGAAGTTCCACCTGAATATGAGAAAAAAATTCTTTCCTTTGAGGGTGACCGAGCACTGGAACAGGCTGCCCAGGGAGGTTGTGGAGTCTCCTTCTCTGGAGATATTCAAAGCCCGCCTGGATGCAATCCTGTGCAACCTGCTCTAGGTGAACCTGCTTTAGCAGAGGGGTTAGACAAGATGATCTCCAGAGGTCCCTTCCAACCCCTACCATTCTGTGATTCTGTGATGATTTTAATTTTTCACAGTTAAAATGCAATTATTTTTAATTTCCATGCTGAGGAAGTCTAGCCTTTTGATTTTCAAACACAGCATTTTGACTAATGATTACTTTAAATAAACATTTGGTTCTGTCTAACAGATGAACTGTAGTTCAAAACAGGGTTTTGTGCTTCATTTTTATTTTAGTTATAGACCTCAATGTATCAGAGAGACAGCTTTGCATCAGTGTGGAGGCTTACTCAATTCGGTTGCCACCCCCTGAGGTATAAAACAGTTACATTTTCTATGACTGTCTTTGTCTTATTAATCTTCATCTTCTTTTCTGTTAGGTGACTTGCAATTAGCATTAGAAGTGCTTATTTATGATTGCATTAAGACAGTAATCATATTCATTGACTATCCGTATCTAAGTGTATAACATCCATGTTATATCTATATTGATGCATTTTAGCAAGCATTGTAAAATTGAGATTCTAGACTAATTAAGAGACCTTTCAAAATGCTAATAGAATATAGTAGTGAAGTGTCTTTATGATTCTAGATTTCCTTCTAGCAGTGCTTTCTAGAAGGCATACACTGTCTCACTGTAATAAACAGTTTTGAGTAACATCTTAAAAGTGACGCTACAGGTAAGTTGTCAGCACTATGTCTGAAGTGCCTGTATATAATTATTCTGGAATCTGCTTCATTTTCTATGCATCTTCCAAAATACTGGAGCAGCCTAGACTGTGCTGCTCATAAGCATAATTAATAAATTGTTTATGAAATCATGATTGAGGTTGAAAAATTACCATCTTTTGTGACAGTCATGTCACCTTTGTTGAACATGTCCATACAGGGGCATATTTGTCAGGCTTTCTGGTTTCTTCCAAAATAAGTATTTCTGATCCAAACTCTTCTTTCTTAGAGTAGAAGAATAGGATTTCTTCTATGACCTACGACAGCATAAACATTAAAGCTATCTATAGGAATCCATTTCCAGAATGACACAAAGCAATGATGGAAGCGATTATGATATGGCTTCTTTATCAGTTTGATCATTTCAATACTTTCATAAACAGAAATGGCCACATTTTCTTATCAGTGAATAAATGCAAACCCTGGTAGACCATAGAGAGAGAAAATGTTTCTCAAATCTTAGTGTTTCATTGGCCCCTACAGCCAAATATTTTCTCATTGTGAAAATGTGCACTGTTTTGACTTCTCACAGGGTGAAACTATATGTCCCATTAATTCTGTTGCTTGGATCTTTGCACTTGATTAGGCATATGCAGTTACTAGACTGTCAAACACGGGTTTCTGATTTCAACCTTAAAAAATGTGAATGGAAGTGAGACAGTTCTTAGTTGGAGAAACTCCTTCTGTACTCTGACTTATTAAAGCACTTCAAATAAAGTTTTAAACCTTGTACTTGCATAACTTTTGGAAGTGTAGGCTCTAACATAAAATAGTGTGCAATTTAATAATGGAAATATCTTCTGAAATAATCAGTGAGAGCCGATAAAAGAATAATAATATATAAGCTTCAGTGTATTGTGATACACAATTCTTTTTGAAAATTTTAATTTTGTACTGCTGTAGAAATATTTGCAAATAACTTTTTTTTTCTGTTTTAAGCTGGGAGATTTTGATATTTTGCCAAACACCTTACAGCTGTTTGACAGCAATGAAAACACAGTTATTCACCAGCATTCCATATTAAGTAACTGGTGCTATGTTTTGCCAAGGTAGGAGTCTGTTTACATTTCAGCAGAAACAAACATTTCCTGGAATGTTTGCCATACAAACTGTGAATTTGTTACTAGTGATAAGAATACTTCTTTTTTACATTCAGGAATCTTTCTTTTTTTACTTTTATGGAAAACTCAATGTTATGGAAAATGAAAATCAGTGAATCATAAATGACACATGTAAATATTATTTCAGTTTTTGTAATCTCTCTGCTACTTCTGTGATATGCAAAGGAATTAATTTTCTCAAATATAATTGTAGCAGAAAGTGTCAATTTAAAGAAAAAACTTATTTACCACAAACTAGGTCTATTTTCACCCGTGAGTTTCATCATAAAAATATGAGAAGTAAGGATATATTTGCTTTTGTTCTACATTCACTGGTAGTATTACAGACAAGAGAAATTAGACTTGTGGGTGCCAAGTTCTTTTCCATAATTCAGGAAATACTGCTATTGTTCTGTCATGAACTTATGAGCTAAAGGTATTAGTCCTCAGAACATAAAAATAATCCATAAATACTTTCAATGCCAAAAATAAGATTTATTTTTTTTTCCCAAAAGTCCAGTATATTTTCAGCTGAGTTTTATGACACTCTGTCTAAGCATCCCTTCTTAACCTTTGCACAGCATGAAAATGGGTCAGATCATAAACATCAGCCACATAATTCCTCCAGAATCTCCTTTCCGTTCATATGAAGAATTTCAGATGCACTGGAAGAATCTGGTAAGAAACGATATACACTGCTTTCATTTTTCTCTCCTTTTTTTGTACCTATTGAGTTTGTATTTGTAATACATATCTGTGGGGTTTTGTTTGTTGTTTGTTTTTTTTTTTTAAAGTATGGATATATTCTTCCAGCAGATCTTGGAGAGACAAAAACATACTTCAGTGTTTACTTCAAACCAGTAGGAGAAAGATTCTTTACATATCCTTTCAGAATATTTGTGTTACATTTCCTCTACTACACTTCTAGCAAAGATCTAAATCTTCATTTTTGAATGCGCCACATTTTCTTCTTCCATAATTTCATAGAATGGTTTGGGTTGGAAGGGACCTTAAAGATCATCTAGTTCCACCCCCCCTGCTGCCATGGGCAGGGACACCCTCCACTAGACCAGGTTGCCCAAAGCCCCATCCAGCCTGGCCTTGAACACTTCCAGGGATGGGGCAGCCACAGCTTCTCTGGGCAACCTGTTCCAGTGCCTCACCACCCTCACAGTAAAGAATTTCTTTCTAACATCTAATCTAAATCGACCCTCCTTCAGCTTAAGGCCATTACCCCTGGTCCTGTCACTACACTCCCTGATAAACAGTCCCTCTCCATCTTTCCTGTAGGCCCCTTCAGGTACTGGTGAGCCGCAATTAGATCTCCTTGGAGCCTTCTCTTCTCCAGGCTGAACAACCCCAACTCTCTCAGCCTGTCCTCATAGGAGAGGTGCTCCAGCCCTCTGATCAGCTTCGTGGCCCTCCTCCCTTTCATAGAAGACAGTGGAGAATTGTTTCACTAGACAAATTGGAAAAAAATATTTAGTCTTGTCTCTTTGTCCTAGTACTGAATAATAGTAAGTCATATAGAATAGTTTGCTTCACAGTTTCTGTAAACATGAATGCCACTCTAAATGGTAATGTAAAAGGAAGAGTTAAATTCCTGTAAAAATGTGGCCAACAAAGATTTATTTTAAAGAGAATTTTCTTGCTAGGAAAGACTACACTAAGGATTACTTATATTGAGTAATCTTTGCTATAGTAGGCTAGTATGGTATAATAATTTTGAAGGCCTGTAACTTTATACTTCAGTCCCTTAAGAAAGTAAGTGCTTGTGTTCACCTTTTTGAAAAAGCTTTAGATATGTTCATGCTTTCTTCTGAATGAAGATAATTCATAATTACAGAAATGTAAAGAAACTTGTTATGTGTCCCTGAACACTTATTCAGGTACCCTTTAAGTTGCATTCGAAGTCAACCAGTGCAGTATTTCCCTAGAACAGATTCAGAAAGTGTGTTGAACTCTTTTCTTTCTGACATGAAGCGTGATCTTTCACATCTATGTGGGTTTCCAGTAAAGATGACAAGTAAAGCACTTTATGCTACACAGGAACTCTCCAGGGCTCCGGTGCATGTAAGGTTTTTGTATAAACATATTAATGGCATGTACTTTGTTCATGGTATGAAGTGGTCTTTATGATATTCAGAACATAGAGCATAAAATTATGCTTTTCACAACAAATTATCAATCATGTAACTTTTATTTAAATGTGTAATTAAATACTATATTGCTATTTGCCATTGTTATGTTGTTGTTCATATCACAAATACATTAAAAATTGAACTTAGTTAGTTGCTATCAATATTCGCAATTCTATAGACTCTATTTTACAGTGGGATATCCAGAACTTTATCACACCTCTTCCATAATAATAATACTACTACAACAGCAATAATAATAATAATAATTATT